GCGTGGAGGGGGGAACCCCGATGGTGATGAGCGGCGTCGGGGGGGGGGGAATAGGATCGGGGGGTAAAAGAGCAGAGAGCGGGAGGTCGCGGGTACGCAGGGGAGTCGAGAGAATCGGGGGGGGGGAAAGAGAACAATCGAAGGGAGGAGGAGTAGAAGAAGAATCGGGAGGGAGAAAGGAGAGGAAGAAGAAACGATGGCGATGACGATGATAAGGAGGAAAATGTGAGGGGGAGAAGAAAAAGAAGAGAAAAAAAAGTTTGCCAGGGGCTTACCTGCGCAGCAGCAGTGGTAACGATGACGTGGCAGCGGGTACGAGGGAATGCTGATGATGACGTGGCAGCGATGACGGCGACGACGATGGCGACGAGGTAATGATGATGTCGATGATGTGGCAAATGACGGCGACGATGATGATGTGGCAGCGACGGCGACGAGGTCGATGACGACGACATTGAATCAGGGCGGTAGGGAGGCCCGAAGCCGCTCCGATACCAGTGTGACGGGGCTGAGGCAGAGCAGTGAGGTCAGGGAAGAGAGAGGGAGGGAGTGAGAGCACACACACACACACACTCACTCAACTTGACACGGACTCGACACGACTCGACGGACACGGACAGAAAGTGGCAAAGTCGCGAAGTCGCAAAGTTGCAATCTTGGTTCCGTACACAATGTCGCAGCAAGTCACACTGAAGCACAAGCACTGAGGCCAAAAACTGAGTCCTGGAACTCAGCTTGAGTCCGGTCTTAAGTACCGGACTCAAGCTGAGTCCGAGGGCAAAAGTGCAATTTGCCTCAGGGCTGAACTGAAAATCGAAGGTCTGAGCCTGGGCGCCAGAATGCCGAATGGCGCCAAGTACGAAATCCGAAAGTGGCAGAGGCAGGATTTGAGAACGGGCGCCAACTGCAGAGGGCGCCAACAGTCAGGAACTGGAGATCAGAGACTCCAAAAGAAAAATCGAATAGCAGCCTGGCGGGTGGTAACCCGGGGACCAGGGATCGAGCCCTGGCTGGGTCCGTAACAGCTGTGGCCTTCACATGCTATAATTAAATAACTGCGAGTGTGAATGTGATATCTTGGTGGCATGCCAGTGACGTGCCTTTGCCACATCCTCTCCATTTGTGTCCCACATGTACCACTGGACGTCCTCCGGCTGCGTCTGTGTAAGCAAGCCTTCTAATTCCTTGCTGGATGAGGAACAGACACAGCAGCCTGAGGTAGAAAATAGACACACACTATCGACCTGCAGTTTGCCTTGCTGAAGGGTTATCGCCCCCAGGGCAGGCAGAGGCAAACTGGGTTTCGGAACAACTTTGTCAGTCGTGGAATCCCAAGAAACTTGCTCAATGCCATCCTGTGATGACCCGCCTGATGTTTGACTACCTTCTTCCCCCGAACATATTGCATATGAGTTCTAAACAAATGCAACGCACAGGGTGCGTTGAACTGAGTTTTATTCGAATACAACACATATGTGTTCTATTCGAATAGTATGCATTGTAAACAAATGCAACACACAGGGTGCATTGAACTGCGTTCTATTTGAATACAACGTCTATGCCTTCTATTCGAATAGCAATAAATTTCGAATACAACACATATGCGTTCTATTCAATTTTTGTTCAAATTTTGAAACTTGAATACAACGCATATGCGTTATGTCTGGGGGAAGAAAGTAGCTATGGGGGTATAGCCTGGCCGAGTTATTTTCATGCCTTTGATGACAGTCAACATTGTACTCATGTATGAGCTCATCACATCACATGTCCTATTTGTAGACAGAGGCTGGAACAGCAGTGCCCATACAGCAGCGGCCTGTGTGTCCAAAAATCAATTCAACGCGGGTTGCGCGTTGAGAGATTCAACGCGCGTTGAATCCGCGTTGAATCCCATTGAAAAGCCCGTTCGACGGGTTACAACGGGACCCATGATGATTTTTTTTGCAGGCTAAAAAAAAAAAAAAAAAAAAAGGTTGTAGATCTTTTTGAGCTCTACAACCCTATATATTTTTTTTTTTTTTTTGAGTTTTCGATATATTTTCAAAAAAATCAAAAA